AATACCACTTCTTTTCACCTCTTGATGGAATGAATTAGCGCCTCTATTTTGGGTAGAGAGACTTTCAACCAACATTTGGGTAATTAAAACACACCATCACTAAATTGTGCTTTTGTGCCTAGCTTGACACCAGTTTCCTAAACCTTTTATCTAATGTCTCTTTCTGTCCAGGTAGTTTGCTGCTGCTGTTTGTCCTTCATTCTTGAAGAGGACCATGACGTCAGGCAGGTGATGTCACGACATGCAAATGAATTGGATTTAAGTGAGGAAGGGCTGTGCAGAGTCACTGGCCTCACTTTCACCTCCAGAGCCATCTGGGTCCAGTGGCCAGATATAGGTCAGGAAAACTGGAAATGGCCCAGGATGCAGTGGGGAACTTTGGCCTTTTCAAGCTAAGGTCTTTAACAGGTCTCAGTTTAACTGAGGTAATGCCTATTCAACGATTAAGGCTTAATAAAAAATGAGACAAAGAATGGCTTTAAAAAAAAAAGTGGTCTACTGCACATACTCCAATGACAATTCTGCTGCTGTTTCTGCCTCTACTCATTAATCAGTCAACCAATAAGCATATATATTATTAAGTACCTATTATGTCTCACCTATATATGTTCAATAGTTCCATCAAAACACCTTTTAGAGTATTCTCTATATTTTTTGTGAACTCCTTCTGGAGGTAGCTGTATGGTCATATTCTACTAAATAGTTAAGTAGATAAAGTACCTATTATGTATCTACAGTTAGGAGCTGTAGATACAAAGACAAAAGTGAAACTTGCTGCCTGCAAAGGGCTTATATCCTCTTGGGGGAAACAACATGTATCTAATTAAGTATGTACAAAATTAAAACAAAATAACTTTGTGGAGGACATTAGAAGCTGGGGAAAAAAGTTTGAAGGTAGAACTTAAGCCGGGAGATAAACAAGGACTTTTAAGAAGTGAAAATGAAGAGGCAGTGTATTCCAGTGCAAAGGCATGAAGATGAGAGATGGCATATTGTATATGAGAAACTGCAAGTCCAGACTGCAGAAGAGGGAAAGTAATGTATAAGCCTGGAAGTACAGGCGAAGGTAAGATCGTGACTGACTTTCACAACCAAACTTAAAAAGCAGAGTTTTTATTTGTTCCTATAAGTGACAGGAAGCCACTGGAGGAAATGTCATGTTTAGACATGAGCATTAGGAAAATTACTTTGGCAGCTATACAGATGATGGAATGGCACAGAGAAAGACCTGAGGGTAAGGAAGCTTAATTAGGGGGCTATTATAGTAGACCAGGCAAAAATTAAGAATGGGGGCCTGACGAAAGGGTTGGCACAATGAGGAGAGTGAAAGAGATACATGAGAGAGATGCTGAGCATCAACTGATTGGATATAAATGACTGACATCAACAGCCGAATCATCTGGAAGGGTTAGTAGCTAATTTTGGAATCTGTGACATAGTTGGACTCTTTAAAATTGTTCTGAGGGAGATGGCCACTGAGTCACTAGATCACGCAACAACCTAGTATTTTCAAGTCATTCCATCTTAATGGTGCTACACCCTTATGTGTAATTACACTTATATGTTCAATAGTTCCTTCAAAACACCTTTTAGAGTATTCTCTATATTTTTTGTGAACTCCTTCTGGAGGTAGCTGTATGGTCACATTCTACTAAATAGTTAACTAGATAAAGCAGTTTAGGCACTTACTATGTTCCAGGCACTGTTTTTTGGGTTGAGGAAAGAAACACAAAAAATCAAGAAAAGTCCCTATGTTCAAGGAATTTGTATTCTAACAGGGGAGGACAAAACATAAAAGAAGATAAGGGAAGGTGGAGAAGGGTGGAAGTCCTGAGAGTAAGTTGAGCTAGGAATGAAGTGAGCAAGTTTAAGACCTGTCAAGAAATGGCAGTGTGAGCTAGGAACTCACCAATCAAGAGAGCAGGATCCAGGGTTCTCCTGATAGACCTGACCTAGATCGTTGCAGCCAAAAAGATTTGAGGCTCTGATATCTCTATGTATGTGTTCATGCACATAAACAGGGAGGGGAGGAAGAGATGAGCATGAAGGAATTCTCAGTTCGGCTTTGGACACAATACACTTGAGCTGCTTTTGGAATGTCTATTTTGAAAGGTCCAATCGATAATCGTAGTGGACTACCACTCAGGAGAAAGATTGGTTTGGGATATACAGATTTGGTATTCATTTGCATAGAGATGATTAAATCAACAGAAGCAGATGAGGTTATTAAGTGAAATAGTGTCCTGAGATATGAGAAAAGGGTCCGATACATGAAATGTATAATGAAGCAGCAGAGGAGAGTGAGACGTCTTCAACCAAATGTTCTGGGTAATGTTTTCCCATTCTGTTCTTTCATTTCCTTGCATGAATAGAACTTCTTTATAATTGAGTGTATGCTTTATACTGCTGCTAAAGTGAATTTCCTACTTAATAAATTCTATTGGCTTTATACCACTTCCAAAACAAAATAAAAACCTGTTTGTCTTTTAAAGCTCTTTACAACCTGGCCCCAACCTATTATTTCCAAGCTTAATGTACATTACTCATCCCCTTGCACCCAAAGATCCAAACTAGTCTTCTCTCTGTTCTTCACACATAATATTCTACTTCTTATTTCCATGCCTCTTCAATGGTTCTCCCTGATACTTGAAAGTACTCTCTCCTTACCCTTACCTCACAGAATCTCTCTTCCCTTCAAAACATCACCCAAGCACCATACATGAAACCTTTCCTGATCCTCTTAACTGCTAGTGTCCTTCCTCTCAAACTACTCTAAATGTATTTATATTTATTTTATTTATATTTATATAGAATATATTTATATAAGGCCTTACTGTCACCCATTAGAACATTTGCTCCTTGAGGGTAAGGATTATTTCATTCACTGTATTTGTATTTTCAGCACCTAGCATGGTACTGGATAGAAAGCAGGTGCTTAATAAATCCCTGTCGATTGATTTATATATACTATCATTCTACTTTATCCTGCTTCTTCTGAATAAGGTATAGTCTCCCACAGTCAAATTCTAGCCACAGATCCATCACACAATGTCTCAATAATACTTACGAGGTCAAATTTGGTACCTTATTAGAATCTCTAATTCATCTAGCTATTCATCACCCAACTTTACCTTGTTTCTCCCAAAATCTGATGAAAACTTTCCAACTTACCCATTTCTATTTGGGACATCACCATCCTTCAAATCACACAAGCTCAAAATCTTGAAGTCAACTTTGACTCTTTCCTTTTCTACAGACATCACATTCAGTCAGATGATTATTCCTATAGATCCCAACTAAAAAAATCTCTAACTCCATTTCTCCACTCACAACCCTAGTAATGGCCCTCTTCATTCCCTGCATTACCATACAGCATCTAAACTAAACTCTCTGACTCCAAACTCTAAATTCCCCATCCAGCCTCCAAAAGTCTCCCAAAATAATCTCACTATCTCACTAATGCACAAGTTTGAAGACTGTCACTCTCCCACTCAAGAATGTTCAGTGACTCCCTGCTATTTATAGGATAAAATACAAACTTCTTCACCTGGCATGGGAGGTCTTCCACAATCTGGTTTTCCCTTTTCTTTGAAGCCTCATTTTAATAACACTATAATGTAAAGACTTTAATTTCCAACAAAATTTGAATGTTCACTTGCATTTTTGTTATGTATCCACACGGGCCACCATAAGGAGGCTGAGAAGCTATAGATATGAGAAGAAAGAGTGTTACATAAGTAAAGCTACTCCTAGAACTGGAGGGAAAATTTATTAGAGAGATCCTGGCTATAAGAGAGGCAGAGAGATTAGGATGGGAAGGTGGAGGGAAATATATCATAGTAAACAGGCTGCTAGTATACAGCAAATGGTGAAGAATGACCGAGCTTAGCCTTGGTAGCAAAGTGAGACATCCACTGAACATGTTAAGTCAGCAGACATCCATTGAACATATTAAGTTATGTGGCATGAGAAGACTGCGAAGAACAATAGTAGTATTTGGGAGGGAAAGATTGAGTAGTATCAAGTAAAAGTTTGATAAATTTAATTTTATGTGGATCAATGACTCCAGACATTATAAACAAGCAAAAACATAAGTTTAAAAATTTTTTGATGATTAATTTGGATTATTTTAAATTAACTACTCTAATAATGATAAAAAATTGGAACTTTCTACACTAGTAAGTGACATGGAATGGACATAAGGAGACGTCTAACTGGCCTCATGACCTTAGGCAAGTCCCTTAAATTTTTCTGAGTTTACTTTCTTTCTTTCTTTTTATTTTTTTAGGCAATTGGGGTTAAGAGACTTGCCCAGGGTCACACAGCTGGTAAGTGCCAAGTGTTTAGTCTAAGGCCAGATTTGAACTCAGGTCCTCCTAACTTCCGGGCCCGTGCTCTATCCATTGACCACCTACCCGCCCCCTGAGTTTTACTTTCTTCTGTAAAGGTAACCACATAACATTTAAGGTTTCTTTCAGGAACAACTCTAAAAACCGACACTGAGTTTGATGATTTAGTAGGACAAAGAACTATTACTGTCACTTGAAAAAACTGCTTAAATTATTAACAGCTAGAACTGGGTCAAAAGTATTCTGGTACTAAGACATTTAAATTTTATGGCAGGTTTTTTTTTTTAAATCACACCTAGGAAACCAAGTTCATTCAAATGTTCTTTTACATGTGTTCCAAAAGATAAACATTTATTTAACTCATGATACACTGATCTAGAGACCTCAATAAATACAGTCACATCACTTACCTCTATCCAAATGTCATGTTTCTTTTAGGCTGACAAGAGACATACACTTAAAAACTTCCAGTGAGTGTCATTTTATTTCAAAATATGCTACTGAAAAATCTGGTATTTTACACCCTGTTATTCAAACCAGTTAGCTATTGCTAAAATCATAGGATAGATATATCCCAACAATCCAATACAAATATAAACCTCACTTTAACGAGTAATTTAATAGTTTCTTGCTCTATAATATTTACAATACCTTATAGACAGAATCAATGAATCGATAATCATTCTTTGCCGTGAGTTCTGTATTGGAGATGACCAAAAATTCTGCCACATAAGTTGAATATGAAGTCAGGGAATGGCTTATAATAGGCAAATATGCTGCAGGATCTCCTTTTACTAAACTGTTGGAAGGGGGAAAAAAGCATGTTTTAATGATTCCACAAAATTAGACCTTCAAAATTTTGTTACGATTTTCCTCTTTAAAAATGCTCCAATAACCCGAGACGGTAGCAAACACTTGTAATCCCTGCTAACGCTTGGTGCTGTAGTACCGCTGAATTCAATGAAACACCAATGTCAGGAGCTCCAGGAGCAGAGAGATAATAGGTAGCTTAAGGAGGGTAAACTGGCTCAGTTTAGAAATAAAACAGATCAAAGCTCCCACAAAGATCAGCAGTAGGATCAAGACTGTGAGTGGCTACTGTAGGAATACCTAAGTTAAGATAGGGAGATCAAGTCTCAAAAGAAAAAGAAGAAAAGCTGCCATGAAATTATTATCTACTCAAAATAAGTTCCATTGTGGAGAACCTTAACTTAGATAAAAAAGTAACCCAATAAATGTTTGTTATCAACAAAGTTTGAATTAAGTAACTTCTAATAGCTGCTTTAATATTAAAAATGAAAATTCTAACAAGTATATATGCACCTGAATATAGTGATATTTCATTTAACATTTACACACACAGGAAAGATGGTGGCTCATTAATTTCAAATGAATAGCCAAACCTCAGAAAGTTAAATAGAACTAGCTGAAAAATAACTAGGGGGGAGGGGGGAGGTCACAAAGGTAAACTTACAGGTAAATTATATCAAACATAAGAAATTAGTAATATAACACATATTATACACAAATTATTCTAAGAAAATTGAGGAAAAAATACATCACACTCCCTTTGAGACAAATATAATATCACTTTGTAGAAGGCTGAAGCAAAGAAAGAGAATTATAAATTAATATCCCTAATAAAATACTAATTCAAAATTTTAAATAAAATCCTAACAGAAAGACTACAGTAATATATCAAAAGATGAGCCTTTATGACCAAGATTTTAAAACCTGAGATGGGAGAACAATTTAACATTAGAACAATAAGCAATCACACTGAAAACAGAAACACTCCAAATCATATTATATCAATAGATTATAGAAAAAACATTAGACAAAATACAGCATTCATTTATGCCCCAAAAGAAAAACTTACAAAGGATTAGTAGAGAAGCAATTTTAATATGCTAAAATGTAAATATCTAAAAGATTAACTTGCAAAGAAGCCTTCCCAATAAACTCCAAAGATTCAAAAATACTGCACTGATACTGACATAATAATTCTAGAAACACTAGCAACAGAAGAGAAAAATTAACCCTATTTGTTTTCAATTCAGTGGTTTTAGTAGAAAACTCTATAGAACCAGCAAAGAAGCTTACTGAAATAATTAATATAATTAATAGCTTCAATAAAGTTGCAGGATACAAAATAAATCTACAAAAATTAATAGTATTTTTATACAGTAATAACTTTCAGGAGGAAATAATAGCAAGGGATATTCCATTCAAAATAACTTCAAAATGCATGAAATATATGTTCTATTAACCATGGATCTCTATACATTTAGAAAAATACAATTACGAAACACTCTTTAAAGAAATAAAGAACTCCTTAAAGCGTGAGGGGTGTTCATTGGTTACATAAGTGTCAACACAATAAATATTATTTACCTGACAGAAAAATATCAATTTATCTCAACAAATGTACAGCTTTGCATTATACCAACAGAACTACTAAAAAGATACTCTGAAGAGCTAAATAAAAGAAGAAAATTTATTTGGAGAAATAAAAGATCTAGAATGTCAAGGGAAATAATGAAAAACAACAGAAAAGTAGGAGGAATCTCACTCCTAGACCTCAATTTTTAATATAAAGCAGTAATGATCAAAACTACTGGCATAAAAATATTTATAGAAACTTTTTTGTGGCAAAAAATTGGAAATTAAGGGGATGTCCATCAACTGGGGAATGGCTAAACAAGTTGTGGTATATTATGGTGATGGAATCCTACTGTGCCATAAAAAAATGCCAAGCAGGATGGTTTCAGAAAAACCTGGGAACACTTCTATGTATTTACGTACAGCGAAGTGAGCCGAACCAAAAGAACACTGTACACAGTAAGAGCAGTACTGTATGATGATCGACTGTGATTTAGCTATTCTGATCAATACAATGATTCAAGAAAAATCCCAAAAGGCTCACGATGAAAAATGCTATTCGTCTCCAGGAAACGGAAGAATTTTGAGGGCAAATGAAAGCATAATGTTTTCCTTCTTTAAAACAAAATGCAACATGGCTAATATGGAAATATTTTTGCCTGATTTCACATGTACAAATGCTGTCACAGTTCTTGTCTTCTCAATGGGTGGGCAAGGGGTGGGAAAGGACAGCAAGAACTCGGGAACTCAGAATTTAAATGAAGAAAAAAACTATCGTACAGCTTTTAAAAAGTGAGAAGTAGACTAAGAGTTGGGAACGAGGCCTAAGCGGCAAACGGCAGGGAAGCAAGGAATCCAAAAGAAGTGTGTAACTGTGTAACACCGAACCGCTTAACAAAGGGTCAGCACTGGGAGAGGAAAGCAAAGCCAGGAGCAGCCTAGGAGGGGCCGAGGACAGCAGCAACTCAAGGTCACAGTGAGAACAGAGAACAGGTTTAGAACAAGTGAGGCCTAAGGACAAAACAGATCAAGAAGATATTACGGTCAGATAAAGAAATGGAACGCAATGGATCATAATAACGAGAATACTTAGATTCACAAGAGGAAATACCAAATTGAACAAAAGAGTCAAGTGTCAGGAAAACTAGTAAAAAGAAAGGGGCAGCTAGGTGGCACAATGGATAGAGCACCAGCCCCGAAGTCAGGAGGACCCGAGTTCAAATCTGGCCTCAGACCAAACACTTCTAACGTATTAGCTGTGTGACCCTGGGCAAGTCACTTAACCCCAACTGCCAAAAAAAAAGGAAAAGAAAATAATCCATCTCACTAAGAACAGCAAACGTGAAAATTAAAACATCCCTGAAATTTCACTTCACACCCACACCCATCAAATCAGCAAAAATGATAAAAGATGGAAAGAGTTAAAATTATGCGGAAGATAGACATGGCAATACACTGTTGGCACAACTATCAAACGGTCTAATTGTTCTGGAACACAATCTGGAATTTTTACAGAAATGATGACAAATTGCTCATACCTTTTGACCTGGCAACGCTTCCAAAAAGGTAGAGACAGGTCCCAAAGATAACAAAATTTTCAGAGTAGAACTTTTTATTATAGCAAAATGACTAGAAAAAAATAAGAAGCTATCTTGAGTGGAGAACAGGTAAACAAATTAAAGCATAAAGTAAATGAACTCTTGTGCTATAATAATAAACAACAAATAAGAGAAATTTGGAAAGTGCATGAACTGATAGAGAGAAGCAAGCAGAACCAAGAAAAAAATATACACAATGACTACAATAATAGATATTAAAATACCACTAAAAGGCAGCCAAATTCAGATTCACTGCAGCCTTGGCCTTGGAGAATAGATGATGATACACACTAACCTCCTCTTAGTAAAGAGGTGGAGAGACTGACTGTTAAAGGTGCAGAATACTGCATATGCTGTTAGACCCAGTTATCATGTAAGCTGATTTTGCTTAACTGTTTTTGTTTGTTAAAGGAATGGTTCAACAGGAAGAAAGGTACTTAGGATCAATAACTCTCTGATTTAGATGGTTTATTTGTGGAAGGTGAGAGGATGAAAGGAGACCAAGGACTAGCTTAGATGAGTTTATAAAAAGCCCTGCTACATCACTCTCAAATATGCATGAGAAAACCATACGACACTGAAATAAAATTTGTTTTTGTAATCTGCATAAAACTTTGCTAATTAACAAGACATTTCAAGTTCTTAAAGTCCCAAATATAATTAGTAAAAAATGCAAGTGTTCCTATAACTCCACAAATTTTGAAATGCATGCATCGACTTCATGAAGATCAATTTAAATAGTATCCATACAGTAGTATTTTTCTTAACTCCACTCTTCTTACACAAGTCAATTTTTCTAAAAGTTGTTTCATCTACTGAAATCATAACTTTAAAATAAATTGAGTCAGGTACTTCATTGTAACTTACCCTGAATAATCCACCTCTCTAGGATAACCAAGCAATCGAATTCCTTGTTCTAGATTTCGTAAGCTTCTTTTTAAATCACCAGTTGCCATTGTTTAAAATCAGAATTAAATTCTGGTTTTGATGGGATTTTTCACCTTTTAAAAAAAAAGGGGGGAAAAGCAATTGTAAATATTGGGACTTCCAATGAGCTTTCCAGAAGTACTTTGGTTTATACTTCATAGCACTTAACACAATAAGCTAACGACCATTTTCTGTTTATTTCCTTCACTAGTTTATAAGTCTTTCTAAATTTTGGCAATTGTTGTATGTTAAATCATTGCTAGAGCTCCCCCAATACCTAATACAGAAGATACCCATAAATATTCATTGAGAATTAAATGAATAAGATTCCTAGTTTTTATTTAGACTTAACACTGGAAATTCATGTTGCCAGTAACAAAGCTCAAAATAAAAGAGGTCTATCAACTAAGGAACACAAAATACACTAGTTTTTTTATAGTTCTATAGCATCCATAAAGAAATGAGATTAAAAAAAACTGCTTCTTATTAATGTAATTATGAAACATGGCAAAACCTAATTTATTCAGACACTATTAATCAGGCCCAAATCTAGCTTCAGAAAATATTTAAATAGGACTTTGATACTTTAAAGATACAAAGTAAAAAGCTGCCTAATAGCCATCCTTGTAAATCTACTTCAATAATCATAACTTGCAATTAAAAATAAAGCTGCCTAACAGCCATCCTTGTAAATCTACTTCAATAATCATAACTTGCAATTAAAAATACTGTCTATAAATTGTTGGTTTTAAGATATAGTTTCATCTTTCTAGTATAAAGGAACCTCTCAGATATCTTATGAAATAGGAAGAAATGAAGAAATTTTTATTAAGCACTTATTACATGCCAAGCACTGAGGATACAAACAGAGAAATGAGACAATTCTTACTCTCAAAGGGTTCACACTCTAATTAGAGGAGACAACATAGGAGGATTCAGGGGAAGGACAGATGGTAAAGCCATCGAATATGAAGGGCACAACAGCAGGACAGATGATATGGTCCAATGGATGGACCTTAGTACCCAGTGAGACGGCATATGAGTAAGGCCTGACAGTCTTCCACCTTACCAGAAGGATTATAGTTGATGGCCCTCTGCTCATCCAAGTGGTGAGTAGCCATGTCCAGCCTAAAGCCAAGGGCCTTGTAAGGGCCTGCCACATGACCTTTGAGAAGTAGGAGATTCTGATAAAAACTGAGCAGCAAGGAAGCAGGGGCACTGTTGAAGGGTCTCTCAAGGTAACCTCTGATATGCAGAGCCTAGTAGGAGGATCTGGGCAGTGTCTAGCTAAGGCCGTTGGGGGTAAGGATTATTTACTTAGCATTAATTACTATTAATATCTTAACAATACAGAATACAAATTTATACAACACTCCAGAGTGATTCATTAAAGAGGTTCTACTTCATTTTAGATTAATTCATGTTTTTAAATACTTAACATACGTAGGATAAGTCTAATAAACAGGTCTACAAAGGCAGAGTTGGTTCTGTCCTCCAATACCAGGGTTATGAAAAAAATTCCCCTACATTTGATAGGATGAGTCCAAAAGTGATACTACTTCTTAACCTATGCCAACGGGCCAAGTAATATCTCTGTGCAGATCACAACCCAACCACACCTTATCTACTGGGATTTTTGTCCATGTTATTATCTAATTAATCCCTAAAAGAAAATCAACGCCAACTGCTGAGGTCTTTTTTGCATTTTATAGGTACCAGTGGAGGACTTGGGCTGCCCACATATTACCTATACCTCTTGCTATATAAAAAACATTTATGTCCTCAGTAACATCCCTTAGTCCACTTCATGCACTACGTGATTATTAAAAATATGGTGAAGCTTACTTGGACCCATCCTGTCTCTCCAGTGCCCTGTGGGTTACCTCTAATTTTAACTGTCCAGAGTGTGGTGCTCTAAGACTCCCTACCAAACGGCATCATGTTTGTCAGGTCATGTCACTTCCCTGCTCTATCTCCAATGGCTCCCTATTACCAGTACCTCAAGGGTCAAACATTAACTCCTTTCTTTGGCATCTAAAACCCTTCACAATCTGGCTCCAGCAATACCTCTCCAACACACCTTCCTAGGATAAAGTGAGAGGTACAATGGATGGAACGCTGGCCTTGGAGTCAGGAAGACCTAATTTCTAATCTGGCCTTAGACGAGTCAGATAACCTGTTTGCTTCAGTTTCCTCAACTACAAAATGGGAACAATAAGAGCACTTACCTCCCAGAGCTGTCGTGAGAATCAAATGAGAGAATATTTGTAAGTGCTTAGCACAGTGACTGGCACATAGTAGGCACCCTCCTTCCTGCACATTACTCCCCTTTACACACCCCATAGGCTAGGCAGACTAGCTTTCTTGCTGTTTCTCACACATAAGACTTCATCACTCATCTATGACTTTGAACAGTTTGGTTTCCACGCCTGAAAAAAACGAAGCTTCCTCATCTCCACATCTTAGAATCCCTTTAATACTCAACTCAAGTACCTCTTTCTACATGAGGCCTTTCCTGATCCCCTTCCCCAATTATTCCCCGACATTTATTTAGAATACACTTAAGTACATGTTGTCGCTTTGGTCAGAATGTGAGTTCTTTGGGCGCAGTTACTGTTTCTCTTCTGCCTTTGCGACCACAGTGTCCAGTACATTGGAAATGCTTCATAAGTGTTTGCGTGGGTGAAAAATATTAGAATCAAGTATTTGGCAACTCCCCAAATACTTAGAGGCATCTAGGGGGCCCAATGGATAGAGAATTGGACCTGAGGTTAGAAAGATCTAAGTTCAAATTCAGTCTTAAGCACCGCCCAGCTGTGTGACCCTGAACAAGTCACATAACCTGCCTGCCTTGGTTTCTTCATCTATAAAATCAGATATAACATCAGCTACCTTTCACAGGGTTGTTGTGAGGGTCAAATAAGACATTTATAAAGTGATTTGCAAACCTTAAGGTGCAATAGTTATCCCATAAAAAATCCAGGCTAATCTCTTCCTCTTGTTCAATTCTGAGTTCAACTTACTGTCCATTCATAGTGGCTATTTGTATTGATCATCAACTCAATGGATTGGCCATTCAAATGCATGTCAGAGTCTAGCTGATATTTTCCATCCATTTGGTTTTTCCTGTCAGCTTGTTAGGCTCTTCTGGATAATCAGAGATTACTATATAATGTTCTGGGATTCAATATGATCTGCAAAGAAGGATACCTGGTGGACCTCACTCTGTATAGGAAATCTCACTTCTATTTGGACCCAGCCTAGAACAACTGATGACAAAGGCAAACACCTTTGGCAAGCATATCCTCCTGCTTTATGCCTTCATGCTAATAATCACAAGGTCATTGAACATTATGGTTACATAAAGGAATCGCTTATCATTTTAACCTAAACATGAGAGATTCCTTATTGGTGATGAGCCTTTTAGGTACTGTTTTGTGTTACCAAATAAAATTCTTTTAAAAATCAACAATATATCTAGAAGAGCTGCTAGGTAGCACAGTGGATACAGTGCCAGACCCGAAGTCAGGAAAACGTAACTTCTTGAGTTCAAATCTGGCCTCAGACACTTGCTAGCTATGTAATCCTAGACAAGTTACTTAACCCATATGCCTCAATTCCTCCAAAAAAGCCCCAATGGAGTCACAGAGTCAGACAATACTGAAAAGACCAAAGAATAAGATAAACATACACTGACATCTTGTATTCGGTGCAGCTTTTCAGGCAACAGTGGAATTGTAAAACTTAGGTATACTACAGAAAAGCATTTGCAAAAGCCTATCTATTCTATTCTTCTCTCACATTTTTTATTAAGGACAGAGCATATGATCACAGACCTCAAAGAGTCTCAATCTCCTTAATTTACAGTTGAGAAGAAACATCATCATCAAGGACACATACAACTAGAAAAAAGGTTAAGCAAGTCATAAGGAGAGTAAAAGGCACACATTCTGAATGTTACACTGTTACCCACAAAAATACTAAAAGAACCAGAAATAGTCTGTGCTTTGATTAGATCAGGAAATTACACTTAGAGCTGAAAAGGAACAGACCATCAAACCCTCATTTAAAGGTGAAAAAACCAAAGGCCAGAGAAGTGAAGCACCCTGTCCAATCTTGCACACAGTAAATGCAGCCAGTGACCTCCTGTTGTCCCAAACCCCAAATTCTCCACTAAACCACAAGGCCTCCTTCACAGAGGGCTTTCTGGAAGGCACAAAAAAGAACAATTCCTAGTGACTGGACATAGGTTATGAGCTACACCGGTGCATAAATTATCCATGTCAACAAGGTGATAGCTCAGGAGAAATGGATCCAGGCAACGGGTTTTTTAAAGAAGTCATTTATGTGCTTTTACAGAAATATCCAACCTGTGCAAAATTTGCTTTCAAAAGACAAAGGAAGAAAAATGGCTTCTAGCTCCACGTCCTTTGTCACTGTCAGTCTGTAAGCCCTTCTTTAAGGGAGGTGGAAGAGATGTATGGTTGTACAGTAAGGCAGAAAAGTCAATTTTTCTTATCCATGAATGCCTCAATGACCACCCCCCCTTCAAAGCAAGGCTCTTGACAGATGAAAATAAAGCCTGTAAAAGGAAGGAATATGCTTCTTTTCCCCTCCTAATGGACTGCTGCAAATATAACGTAGAGGTTGAATGAAGGAGAAGGTTTGTTGATTCTTGCTTAACTGAAATTCTTAGGAACATTCAATTAAAAATTTGCTCTGAGGAAGAAGGGGATGTCAGTTTTTACAATCAAAACATGTTTGGAAATGCTGTTTCAGTCTAAAACAAAAAAAATTTCTCCCTGATGATTTAAATGCCAAATGGTGCTTGGTACTCATTTCGAAATGAAATTTAACTTAAGGAATTTTAGAAATTATTCTCCTTTTACCGACTTCCCCCCCCCAAAAAGGATAAAACCTTAACATATCTAAAATGAAAGCGGAATTTTTCCAAAACGAAATGCCATCAGCTTTAAATAAAGAGATGTTAGGAAAACCGGGCAAACGCAAGCCGGAGATGCGAGCTCAGACATCATGGCATCCGGCACTGTTCTCGGGGCGTGTGTGTGTGTGTGGGGGGGTCCTCATGGCCCAGGTCTCATTTTCCACTTACCCGCCTCCCCCGAACAAGACCACCACCGCAGCCTGGCCATGACCTCCGTGCTCTCTTACAGCTTAGCCCCGGACTCCCTGCTCTGCTACTTACGGTATGACAACGGACCACTCACCACCCCTCTCTGGACCTTCCCCAGACACTCACCGCTACTCCTCGGGCCGCTTTCAGGACGACAGTAAAATGAGGGGGTTGGCCTGGGGGGCCTCGAGAGCCCCTCCCTGCCTTGGATCTGGCTCGTAAGCGCTAGGCCGCTCGAGAGGCAAGGTGAGCCAGCGAGCAGCAAGGAGGAGCTGCTGCATCCAGCAGACGTCGCTGCGGACGCTTAGTGAAGCTAGGACTCTCAAGCTGCGCCAGAGACTCAGTTTCCTCCTCAGTATAACGGAAAAGGAAACAATTGCGCCGTGCACGCCCGCAGAATCTGCGGGGCAAAAGGGGCTGAGGAAGCAAACGCGCGTAGCAAACCATGAATCGGCGTCATCGTCAGTGTAGGTGTGGGGGGGGGGAACCGAAGCATCCGGCCCTTCGCCCCTGCCCCACCCCCAGACTGGACCGGGAAAGACGGAGTGGGTGGGGTGGAGAAAAGGCGGTGCTCCCCCCCGCTCCACTCCCGCTCGTCCCCGCGGCTCACCTCGTAAGTCCGCAGCCCAAGGAAGCCGTGTCAGAGCCCGCGGAGGCAGCTGGACGCGAGCGGGCCCGTGCGCGCACTTGTGGACGGCGCCTGCGCCCTTCACTCACTGCGCCGACCGTTTACCACCCGGGCCGGGGGTGGCAGGCCGCAGCGCTCCCCGGGAGGCGTATCGAGCTTAGCCCCTCCTTTATTCTCTGCCGCCCTCCGCCGCAGATTCCAAACGGCGCCACTCAGCGCCCTTCGGGGATCGGGGCGGGGGTCACCGAGATTTCCAAAGGCCCCGAAGTGGTCAGGAGAGCACACCCAAGACGCGGGTGGTTTAGGGGAGTCGCAGGGGCCTCAAAGACATGATGGGAAGACTACAAGCGTGTGGCGAATCGTGAGGTGGGCGAAATACACCTCTTTGTCTTCGAGGGCACGGGAACGTCGTCACTTCCGGCAACAATAGGAAACGTCAAAACTCGGACAGGAGGCCACTTGGGCCGCCGCAGCGGGAGCGGTGCTGAGCCCTGGAGGCGGCGGGAGCTGCTGCCGCTGCTGACATCAACATCACCACCTCGTTCCCCCTCCCCTCCTCGGCTGAGGCCGTAGAGCTGGAACCGGCTTCTCCATGGCCCGGACAACCGTGCCCGGCTGAGCCGCCTTCCAGTTGGCTGAAGCCACCTTCCCAGAAGCTGAGTCGTCGCGGCGGCGGTGGGGATTGCAGGTGGCTCAGGTATGAACTCCAGCACGACTTTGTCCCCCGCCCCCTCCCCCCCAGTCTCTCATTCCCCACCCCCACCCCCGGCTGCTTCCCCTCCCACCCGGAGGCCCCCCGGTTACATTACCTGCCTGCCTGTGGTCAAAGGCTGACCAACCTGCGTGAGCCAGTGACCAATAGCACTCGTCATCTCCTCGAGTGACGGCGCGTCAGCCAATGACCGTGCGGGATTAGGGGCGTTGGGGAGGCGGGAAGCTGTAACTCTAGTCCCTGGAGATGGGGTGTCATCCCGGGAAGAGGCGAAGGCAGATCTGCCCTCATCTTTAAGTCTTGCCGTCAGGTAGCGAGAGCATTACTTTGTTCCCCAAACCTCCCTGGAACAAAGACCTGGGAGATCTTTCTGGTCTCGTTTTACAGCCTTTGTGAATGCCAGCGACACACCCAGCTGGGCAGGGCCCGACCTTCGGCCCTTGTGGAAGGAATTACCGCTTTTACACCTGGCGTCAGGATAAAGTCTTCAATATTCCTTTTAGTGGCGAGATTAGTACTTGCCCTCCCTGACTGGAATGATAGGAATTATCAGATACTCCAGCACCCATCTTTTAAAATAAATTGTTTCCTTGCATATTCACTTCATTTTTAAGAAAATGAATTTTACAGATATCTTTAGTGTTTTACATCACCAGAGTTTCTTACAGTAAGTTATCCACCCTTTTCATCTTCTAGAGCTGTTTTCACTTTAAAACAAAAGGCACCTTAAGCTTACGTTAAAGTATTGGTATTGAAATTATGGATCTAATAGTGCAGTCCTCCTTTATGAGTGAAATATGAATTTTTTTAAAAATAAAATTGTCTTGGTAGATTTTTATGTCGCCTAAATTTTCCCCTGTGCCCCAGCCCCTTTTAAAGAGCCATACCACACAACAGTGTTTTATAAAAAGAAAAAGAGGAAGAGGGGAAAAAAGTACATCAACACATTGAAAAAATCTGAAAATACATGCATTGTTTCACATCTGTTGGAGATAAGGAAGGAGAGCATTCCAGGCATGGGGGACATAAGGTGATCAAGTCTGGAGTCCCAAGGTGGAGTGTCTTTTCATTGAGACCATGCTTGTTTTTTGTAATTTTTGTTAAATCTTATTTTCAAATGTTTTTAGATTCTTTCTAATGAATCATTTCAAGCCTTCCAAAGGTTCTTAATTTAAGAACTGTTCAACGTTTCATAGTGCTTACATATTTAATTTATTACATGTGCTGAACTTCATGCTTAATAACAATTTATGTTCCTATCAAGTTTTTATAAATAGGTGAAAAGGGTAGCCCTCCTTTCTGTTTCACCAGAAATAATCACCAAGACATTTGTATAAACTCAGGGCAGTGGAATTACTAATCCTAGTCTTTAATTGAGTAGTCCATTGTCACTCTAACCCATTTTTATTGATTTAATTGATTCAGGTGCTATTTTTCAAATGAAGGTGGGGCAAACCAAATGGCTTGTCTTTGGTAAGCATGAATCATTAGCATTGAATTTTGCATAGCATTTAGACCTATTTCCCTTAATTGGATTATTTTAGTTCAATAATGTTCCAAATGAAAGGATGAATATCATAAAATCTTGAGTCTACCCCCAATCCAAAATGATGCCATTGTTTTAAGATGTGTATATTTATTTGCCAGCAAGTTATCCAAATGCTTTCACATTAGATTGCTGCCTTTGATTCTTAATCATCTTTGACCTCCAGTTATTATCACATTAGGAAATCCAGTATTAAAGAACCAGGGTTGAAATATAGTCTATTCAGAAGATATCATAGTTACTTAAAATGCTTTTTGAAGATAACCTTAGAGTTTTTGTATATTGCTAGCTGCAGGCTGAAATAATGGGGATGTCTTGCTTGCCTGTACTAATTTTCCCCCCTGATCTTTTGTCTTAAATATGTAAGACTAGAAACCAAACCTGATATCTTTTATGCAGGGATTTAAGGACGTAGACCAGCTATTGTCTTAATGACCATATTTTACTTTTGTAACAAAGAAGAAGCAAAAGTAATAATCCTAATAATTCTTGGCTGTTCTAGTTAAAAATAAATGAGCCCATTAAAATAAAATTTATAGACTGTGATAAAATGTAAGTTTTAAGAAAACAGTGATATTGTAAATCTTTGCAAAATTTTAAAAAAATACAAGCTGTGTGCTTTTTAGTAACAAAAACTATTCTTGAAGAACCAGACCTCTAAATTTAATGAGAGCTTTTTTATGTCTGGTATGTACCTCATGACCTCTTGGTACTTAACTGTTTGCCTTTTCTTCTTATAAGACCCCTTGTGGACCTAGACTTCTTTCATTCTTCTATAGTTGTTGCCTTTAAGTTTAGGGAGTGAATGGTTATCACTTTTTTTTCCTCTGTTCAGTCTGTTCTGGACACTTTGGTGGTCTACTATTTTTTAAGGAGAGAAATGAAATGCCTAAAGTAATAACTCCCCACAGAAAACTTTTATTTTCTATTCTTTTAGAATAATCTTAGGGGATCTCATTTGAAGATTATCAAATTAGAGTTACTTCATATCCATTTGCTGTAGAATTTACTTTTAATTGGTAGTTTTATGGTTCTCAGTTTCATATTTTTCAAGTGGAAATAGCATGAGATTTTCCATAATTTTTTAGAAATATATCATTTGCAGAAAATGGGTTACTTTAAAATGATGCCACCATTGTGACACCAAATACATGCCATGGTTTAGAATGAGTGCTTCAAGTGAGCCTATTTAGAAATTAATCAATGTATGCCAGATATTTAATATTAGTTGTGATAGTGGAATGGGTTCACCCCATACCAGTTTAGGAAGCAGAATGTTTCATTCATCTTTGAGTAATCTGAATTCCATACTCAATTCTCTCCATTTCACTCTCCAAAAAAATCAGTCATTTTTAAATTAGATACAGTTGTTCCCAAATCATGTAATTGTGTGTGTGAGCGCTTAACAGCTTACATAAACTGACAGAGGAGAGTTAGTCACCTTTTCCTTTTGCTCATACAAAATAGTAATTTTTTAAATGTTTAACTTATTTTAATAACATTTTGATTTAAGAATGCTACATATCTTATAATACAGTTGTAAGAGTTAGAGTACTGCTTAATATGTCATTCAATGATTATTGTAAAATACTCATGGAAGTAATATATAATAAAATTTCTTAGAAACAATAAAATGTGGAATGTTAGGAATATATTTCTGTAATTACATTTGAAGAAATATGAAGAAACTTAATTTGTCATAAAAAACCATATAATAGCATGCCAAATTCTAAAGTAGAAACTTTTTTTATATAGTTATGCTATAACAAACAAAAAATTCCTCAGTAAAATGATTTAAAGGATCATTTAGACTTTCTACAAATTTAATCATTCACCTGAAGTAGAACACTCAGAAAACTTTGCATTGTAATGTATACTAAATAATTAATGTAGTAAATTGCTTGGAATTATTTTTTCAGCCTTCTTTGTATTGCATTTTTGATGTTAGTTCCATTACAATGGAGCACAAAAGATTAGATTTTACTGTCCTTTGCTTACTTGGTTAAGGGAATCAGGAACCTTAGCCACCAAGTTCATATCAGAACCCACAGCTCTGTTCTAGGCTCATGTAGTTCAGGGTGTTTGGTTTTTTAAATGCTTTAGGTTGTCTGGGAAATAGTTATTTATTCTGATTTCTTTATAGCTCACTAAGCTTTTAAAAAAGTGAAGTGATTGCATTAAAATTGAATATGGAACATTTCAAGAAATGAGCATAGGCCATTAAAGTAAACTGGGAAAACATTTTTCTTTCTTTTTACCCTCCCCAAAATCTCTTAAAGCTCCCTTAAATAGAGTTCATTTATCCAAAGTATAATATTATCTGGTTTAATTGTTCTGCTTTACAGTATTTTAAAATTTTCAGAATCACATCAACATTTTTTTCAAGTAGATAAGGTACAAATAAGTAACATTTCTGAATTTTAAAGCAAAATTCAATTTGAGAGTTTATACATTTTTCATTTTTTAGCCAATGTACTGTTGATTAAAAATTTTTTTGTAATAAGTACATTCAATGAAAAATAATTTTAAGTTAAAATTTATTATGAAATATTTTATCTTATTTTTTTAGTACCTAGTCTACTGAAGAATGCTAAAAACCCTGATTTATTCATTACTCTTTCATTACAACATGCATTTATAATACAGTGTACATTTAATTCAGGTTGTCGTAATTTATGATTTAATACTGTCTATCTAACCCTTGGTTTTTACTTAAAATATTATTAATTTAATTTGGGGATAAATGAATTTTACCTTTCTGCAACATTGTAAAAGCAGGCTTGTGTAGTGGAATTTTTCATAAGAGCAAAGAAGCTCAGTTCTTTTCCCAAATCTGCCACTAAAGTAGTTGTGTGACATTAGGCAAGTCATTTAACCTTATTGGGCCTTAGCTTCCTTCATTTGTAAAATGATAAAGTTGGACTAGATAACCTTGAGCTAGATGAATGTGCTTTCCTCTCTAAAATTGTATAGTTCTATTAAATGTAATATACTTAAATTTTAGTTTCAAGATTCATATTGTGACTTTTTTTTATTTTGTCTTCTTAATAAACAAAAGCTTCATCTTTTCGACAATATATTGGGAGGGAAGTATTGAGTTTGATGGTTGGAGTAATGAGGTCTTTTGCTGCTTCTGTTGACTCACAGTATCATCTGAAGCAAGTCACTTTATTTTGCATCAGTTTACATATCTCGCCTTCCACTTATGTAAGTATTACAGTGCTGTCTCTATGATGTACTTTGTATTTAAGTTAATCTCCTTTTGTTTTTTTTATCAAAAAAAGAGGCACACTATATGAGTTTTAGTCTCTTGTATTTGCACCTATAATTGACCTAACTAGAACTTCCCTCATGACATATATAGTCCATGTTGTTACATATGTTTAACTGTAGCTGTTTGAATGTTTTGTTTTGTTTTGTTTTTTCCAAAAAAATATTA